TATCAAAATCGGAACAATTAATCCAACTTTGACATAATATAACATTGATCGATTCATGATTTCAAGAATGTGTAACTTAACAATCTTTACAACTTGTGCTCACTAGTGACTAGCTCCATGAGGAACGCTTCTCTGAGTTCTAGTGGGAAGTCGTGACTAGTGAAGTTCAACGTGTTTGGGTGTTGGCAGTAACTCCGTGAATTGATCGAAGTTAGACATTAACACCGTTAGATACAGGCTCAGTGGTCCAGAGGTTAGGCGTTTATGCGCAAGACTGAAGGTCCTAGGTTCGAGTCGCGGATGCGCACTGCCACTGATGAGTCCCTTACCAGAACGAAACGGCCATCTTTCAGTGCTTCCAATCTAATGGTGGTCTAACATTGATCGATTCATGATAACAATCGTCAGAACCCCTCATAATGTAATACAAATAAGTTAAAATTCATCACATTGTACACACGAGTGGCTATCTGATCTCAGTAGCTAAGTGGATGGCATTATTCAAAGTGAACAACAGTGAGTTCGATACTCAGAATGAACATGCACTCATCGAGCACATCGAGCTGACGAGTCTCAAATTAAGACAAAATGTACGTGCCTGATTCCACTGCTAGCCAACGTCCATCTGCGCTTATAATGTTATTCAGTTAGGCTTCTTAAAAGTTTTTCATACTACCACTGTTTGTACGTGTGTGTGTGTTTTTTTGTCAGAGTACTGTAGAAATCTCTCTTATTTCAATTATAGTTATCGAGATCAGTGTTTTTACACATTTAAGTTAGCAATCAATCATTGTTAGACCATTACTAGAAACCTGGAAGCATTGGATGGCCGTTTTGGTCGTGCTATGAGACTCATCAGTGTCAGTGTGCATCCACGACTCCTTCACCTTCTCGCAGGATTCGAACCCGGGTTTCTAATAGTGGTTTAACTATGATTGATTGATGATTTCAGTGTGTAAAAAATATACCTGAATGCACTCTTCCTAGTAAACCAATGAAAACACACGTCCAATAGTATTGATACATTTTTAAACGGAAGCAAACGCTACATAAAAGTTGACTCAAAGTGTATATTTGATCTTTTAGTGATTAGAAAGTTAACCATGAGAAAAAACAAATAGAGAATAAATAATCTGACTTTTTTTATTCAAAGATCGGTACTGTAGTGGTTTTGATTATTAGCATCGCAATTGATCAGTCTCTTTGTTTAACTGTAGATAGAGAGGGCCGTTCATTGTGAATGCGTTTGTGTTCAACCATACGTATCTATGGACTTACTTACTTACATACGCATGTTACCCCAAATTGAGCATAGGCCGACGACCAGTATCCTCCAACCTACTCTGTCCTGGGCTTTCCTTTCCACTTCTGTCCAATTGTTGTTTATTCTTCTCATGTTTATCTCATTTCTCGGCGTAATTATTTCTCTGGCCTTCCCTTTCACCTTGACCTTAAGGGTTCCAAATGAAGGTTTATCTTGTGACGCAATTGAGCGTTCTCCGCAATGTGCATCCTATCCACTTTCACCACTCCTTCCCGATTTCCTCCTCCACTGAAATATGGTTTGTTCTCTCACACAGTAGGTCTTTGCTAATGATGTTTCTGGCCAACGGATCCTCAGTATTTTTCATAGACAACCGTTAATAAATACTTTTTCAGTTTTACCTCTGTTTTTCATAAGGTAACGTTTTTAGGGTCAATGTTTTCTAACTCCTTCCGTTGTCAAAAGGCAGTATCATTGCAGATAATGGGTTGTCTAAGGAAAACACTTCATTGCTGTTATATTCTTCTTTAATCAACTGTGTACAACTTCATCTTTCAGACTTTAAGTTACTGCTTTTAATCTAACCGTTCTCCAATTAATCTGCCTGACATAGTAGGTAGGTAACCCAACTAACTATACAAGTGTTAAGTCATCAGGATAGACAATCTTGACCAACATGTGGCAGTAGTTATTAACTACGGTCTTTTCAATACTATTCATCATACTCTTTATAGGTTGTCTTATGTTATATATGAATTTTAAAAAAAAACAACATAAAACTAGTCTGTCGGAAAATACCAAAGTTCAAATATATCGTTTCAAGGGTCAAATTAATGTCTGCAATGATTTAGACTAAGCTAATTGTGTAAAAAGACAAAACTAATTATCCGCCTTTTCAAACAAAAGTATAAATAAAATAAAAAAACATGAAGGTGATAATATTGTGGTGCGAGCTACTTATAAGTAGTATATGACGTGAGTGTCAACGTAATGTCTGACAGCAGAAGATGGGGGAAGATCAAGAAAGGAAGAGTTAGAACACAATGGAATTCGTGCATGAAACGCATGAATAGTGACAATGGATTGATGTTTTGCAACAGGAACAGTCCAGTTCGCTATGATGAACTGATATTTTGCAAATGAACAATTTACGATATGGTTTTCCTATTTTACTGAGTAACTCTGTAACTTTCGTTAAATACAATTCGGTTGCCCCACCTTGTGTTCTCGTTCACTACAATATAACGAATGATTACGAAACAATACGGCATGCACCTTGGAGTACGTTAACACTTACGTATCTGAGCAGCATCATCGACAACCACAGTAAATCCAATGCAGATGTGAAGGCGCAGATAGGCAAAGCAAGGGCTGCATTTCTACAATTGAAAAAAATATTTGGAACTCCAAACAATTATCAATCAACACCAAAGTCACAATTTCGGATATATATGTCAAGATAGTTATTCTGTATAGGGCGGAAACTTGGAGAACTACGAAAGCCATCATCCAGAAGATACAAGTATTTATGAACAGTTGTCTACGCAAAATACTGAGGATTCGTTGGCCAGATACCATCAGCAACAACGTACTGTGGGAGTAAACAAACCAGATTCCAGTGGAGGAGGAAATCAGGAACGAGCGGTGAAAGTGGATAGGATACAAACTGCGAAAAGCGCCCAACTGCGTCACAAGACAAGCTCTCACATGGAACCCTCAAGGCAAAAGGAAAAGATGAAGGCCTAGGAACACATGACGCCGAGAAATAGAGAAAGATATGAGAAGAATGAACAAAAATTGGAGAGAACTTTAAGGGGAAACCCAGGACAGAGTAGGTTTAAGAAAACTGGTGGGTGGCCTATGCTCCATTGCGAGTAACAGGCTAAAGTAAGTAAGTATGTAGGTAAGTAAGTAAGTAAGTACAAATCAAAAACACTAGACAAACATGTCAATAAACAATTTACTGTGTATAAAGAAAACAGATGTTAGAGTCATAGTTTAATGACAGCTTGATGTGATCTGTTTTTCATTAGATCAATAACTGGTGAATACTATAGTCCTTAATTTTTTAAAGGTTGGTTTCTTTTTTTTAACCTCTGGACCACTGTACACCGGCATCCAACAGTGTTAATGTCTAACTCTGATCAATCTAAGGATTTTGTGCGAACTCACCTATTTGTTGTTCGGTAGTTAACTGCCTACATCGGACAGGGTTGAACTACACTGGTCACGTTGTTGGTACAAAATGGCACTTAAATATTTATCCGCCACACAGATCAGTGAATTTCTGAGTTGGTTGCGATCCTGTTCACCAGCATATGGTTTTCTTAAGAGACCAATTCCTGTGCTTATTGACTTACAGGTCTGATTCAGGAGGAGGAAGTATAGCAGCTTTTGGCGATATGATAACATAATATCTGGTTATCAATAAAAGGGTAGTATTCCATTGGTTCATAATGAGGGTTTTTCAACTCTCTGTCGGTCGACCCTCCTTACCCACTAATACGATTTATACGCAGGTATTCACTACTTGTCCTCTCATTTTGTCAAACAGCACATCAATTGCGAGAAGGCAGTGATTTGAGTTTTCTTAACAGCGAACTATATACACATAACTATATGAGCAGATTTGAATCGGGAAAATGTAGTCTACCCCTACTTTATTCCGTACCACAGTATCGGCCGATGGTTTGTTTGTTTCTTATTTAAGACCAAGGAATGTTATCATGTTACCATATTTTTGTTGATGACTACTTACCAATAATTGCTTTTCTAATTGATGCTATAAAAATCGATATATTTGCCTGTCCGGGTTTTACTCTGTTCATATCTTCAGTTAGAGCTTTGGAGATTTGTGTTTTTCCACATTTGAAATCATCAATTAATCACTGTTAGAAACGTGGAAGCACTGGACACCCGTTTCGTCCTGATGTGAGACTCACCAATGGCAGTGCCCATCCACGACTCCTGAACCTCGCGGGATTCGAACCCGGGACCTTGGGTATTGTGTGCGAACGCCTAACCACTGGGCCGGCATCCAACGGTGTTAATGTCTGATTCTGATTGATCTAGGGATTTTGTGCGACGTCACCCATTTGTCTTCGGCAGTTACTGCCTACACATTTGACAGGGTTGAACTCCACTGGTCACGTCTGCTCTCACTAGAACTCCGAGAATTTCCTCACGAAGCTAATCACTAGTGAGCACATTTAATAGAATCAATCGAGAATTCTCGGAGTTCTAGTGAGAGAAGACGTGACCAATGGAGTTCAACCCTGTCGGGTGTAGTCAGTAACTACCAAAGACAAATGGGTGAAGTCGCGATATATTCCCAGATCAACCAGGGTTAGACATTAACACCATTGGATGCCGGCCCAGTGGTCCAATGGTCAGGCGTTCACGCACAAAACCGAAGGTCCGGTGTTCGAATCCGGCGAGGAGGTGAAGGAGTCGTGGATGCGCACTGCCACTGATGAGTCCCATACCAGGACGAAAAGGCCGTTCAGTGCTTCCAGCTTTCTAATGGTGGTCTAACAATGATTGATTGATGATTTCAAATGTGTAAAAACACAAACCTCCAAAGCTCTGTATGAAAAAAATAATAATGATGTATGTACACAAGAGTAATTTGTGTATTTTTTAATTTTTTGATTAGTCGATATCAACAAATCTCCATTGTCTTTTATATCATTGTGATTCTCTTTATATTTCTATTTCTATTTCAATTTTTTTTGAGGGCTTAAATTTTACCTTTTTGTAAAATGACTGGTAGTGGAGCTGGTGGAGGCGGCAGTTCTAGCGCCAGTGGAGGTGGTGGTGGTGGTGGTTCTGGTCGTGCACATTTTCGCAGTCAATTAGGTTGTTGTATATGTGGAACAAAATCATCCTCTTCACGTTTTACTTCTAGTCAACGATATGCTGAACATTTTGGTGCATGTTTCGGTCAGATGGCAGCTACACGTTCAGGTGATTTATGCAATGCATGTGTACTTTGTGTGAAACGTTGGCTTCAACGTGGTAAACAACCAAATTTCTTTGTACAGGTAAGATGATGAATTATTCTTTCGGTTTTATTTCTATAGCTTTCTTTTTCGCCATAGTAGTAGAGGTAGTGGAAGTATTAACAGTAATCCGAAAGATTATTCAGGAAGTATAATCCAGTGAAATAGATTTGAGCCAGGAAAAGATGAAGGTCATGAGGAGTTTAAATTGGAATTTGAGAGAACATGAAGAATGGATGCACCTGTGTCATTAAAAAACGATTTTGAGCCATGTGGTTCATGGTTCTAAAGTTCTAGCTAACGAAGCCTGTTGCCCTATTTGACATTATGTACGTACTACATTGAATGCTCCAACATGTAGTCTAGAACGGGGTTTCAGGAGACCAGGAATGACGTTTCGTGAACTCGCATTGTTTGCATTAGCTGTACAGTGTGATAAATGAATGTGAGTAGAGTTAATCGTGGAGATAAGAGGGATGTTAGGGGATGTATAAAGGATTTGACTTTGACCAATTTGGTCTCGTGCGCTGTTACGGGTATGAGGGCGGTTGTCACTTCCCGGCTGCCCACACCGTAGAAGGTTGTTTCTTGAGGAACCTGAAAAGGAAGATAGATTAGTGTTGGTCTTTGAGACCTGAGAGCGTGACCGCAGAGTCCAAGGTACAACTGCTTGAGGCCGGTCACGCACGGTCTTATTATGAAACGTTTTTTGAGGATTAGCTCCGCTCTTGAAAGCCCTTAGTGGTTACCCTTACCTAAGGAGACGGAAATCCGTGAGGTAGTGTGAGGTGTGACATTTTTAGGGTCGACCTTTTCTAACCCTTCCTTTCTTGTGAGAAGGCAACATCGCTGAAGATGCTGGTTGTCCGAGGGAAACAACTCACTGCTGTCACACCCTTCTGCAGTCAGCGGTACGACTTCGCCCTCAGACCTTGAGTAGCTGCTTTTACTCTCATCGTTCTCCAATCGACCTGCCTGTCATGGTAGAACCTTCAGGAATATATGTTCCAGCCAGTATAGCTCGGCTGGGTCATCAGGATAGGCTAGCCCGACCACCACGTGTCAAGGTAGCAGCTACCGTCGTGTGTCGTTCATGGTCGCTAACCATCGATCACTATCATCTCGCGCCGCCAAACAGGTAGTCTACACCAACTGATATGAATCAGTCCACTTGTTACTGACTTCATACATTTGTGCCATGTTTTAGCTTAGTCACCTGTAGCGTTCTTCCAGTCTACTCCTATTGCACAGTAGGGTGACAGTGTGCATCCACGATTCCTATGATCAATCGATTCATGATTTCAAAAATAATCTTAACAATTTTCAAAATCTTATAATGCAAATTATTTTTATTATTATTATTAATGACAAACTATTTGTCTTTTGATTTTTTTTTCAAAAATAAAAAGATAGATTTCTTCAAACAAATGTTCAAGTTTTCAGAGTTTTTACAAATATTTCTTATATGCGTGTGTTCATTTTTACTTTCAATATCCATTAAGGTTGAAAGTTCAATTTAAAATTATCATCACTGAGTACTGAGTATTATTAGAGATTTCTTTGAAATTCATGGATGTTATGAATTGATCAAAGCTGCCTGGCAACCATTGAAAGCCCGAAACCACTGAATGACTGTTTCGTTCCAATATAGGTCTCTTCAACTTTTATTTTTAAAATTATATAAATTTACCCTATATTGTCTAGGGTAATTTTACATTGGTGGTTTCCAGGAGAACCAAAGAGACTGGACATGTTTTACCATTACTACATGAACAGTTCGGCTCAATCCTGTAGTGCAACCACACAGGTACCTACTACCCTGGTGGACTATTCACACCATTTCATATACATACACTGGTACATATATATTTCCGATCAATGATCGCGTCAATCAACATGCACCGTATGAACAGGCCATTTCGACCCATCCCGCTTAACATGACTGTCAAACTCATTATTATTATTAGCAATGGTGATATGTAATACAGCACCCCGATGACAATGACCCTCGGGAATGTCGCAAACACAACCACCTATATCAATGAAATCGGTCACCCTGCTAACCAGTTTTGTATATGGACTGTTAACAATGCTTACCAAAGGAAAGCAAAGCCATCCACAATATCCACAGCGAACCTCTAGTCTCATAGGAGACCTTCAGCTCTATATAACAGTATAGCATATGGTGGCGCAGGATAGTAGAAGAGGCAGCCTAACTTGATGCAAATAGGCCCAAACACTTTTCTATTACCCTTTGTCTCTTGTCGAACAATGATTTTTTCGCGTTTCCGAAATTTTCATTTTTCAACCATATGAGACCTGAGTTAGGGATAGTATCCCTCTCTTCAACTTCAACTTTACATTGATACAACCTTACTCTGAGGACTGGAACCTAGGATCTTTAGTCTTGCGCTGTAACGCTTCACCTCTACTATCTAGACCACTAAAGTTACCCGCGTAACTTCTATAAGTGTTTGCCTCTGACATCATGCATTTTATACTTACTTGCTAAATTCAATATCCATTTCTTAATTTATTTATTATACTATCAACTAGATTTAAACAATTGAAAATTGAACATGAATGAATTAGTTTGAAACATGAGTGTTTGGTTTTAAAGATTTAGCCTTTTTGTTTCATTTTCTTATTTCAATCAAGCATTTCTACCACACATTAAAATCATGAATAAATACATCATTGTTAGACCATCGTTAAGAACCTAGAAGCACTGGATGGCCGTTTCGTCCTGGGTATAGGACTCCCCGACAGTGAGCAAAATCTATTGGATGCCGGCTCAGTGGTCCTCGGATTAAGCGCTTTCACACAACACCGATTAACCTAGGTTCGAACTCTACTGGCAGCAGGAGTCGTGGATGCGCACTGACACTGATGAGGAGGCCCATATTCGGACAAAGCGACCATCAAGTGCTTACAGGTTTCTAATGGTAGTTTAACGATGATTAATTCATGATTTCAACATGTAAAAACAACTATCTCCATAATACTATTGTAGTGAAGGAGAACACAGGAGGGGCAACCGAATTCTGTTTAACGAAAATTACAGAGTTACTCAGTAAAATAAGAAAACCATATCGTAAATCGTTAATTTGCAAAATATCAGTTTATTATATCGAACTGGACTGTTCCTGTTGCAAAACATCGTCAATCCATTGTCACTATTCATACGTTTCATACAAATTCCATTGTGTTCCCACTCTTCCTTTCTTGTTGATCTTCCCCCGTCTTCTGCTGCCAGACATTAGGTTTTTACTCGCGTCATATACTATTTATAAGTAGCTCGCACCACACTATAATGTAAAATGATTTCTATGTCGACAGTATATCTTATTATTATTACTCTTATCACCATTTTCATGACCATTATTTCTGGATATCCATTATTTTATTTTTTCAGCGTGTTGTTTAGTTAAGATATGAAGTTTGCTTAAATGGAATAATTGTTTAACCATAGCACCATCTCAAAAATGAACTCAATCACTCAGTCAGTCAATCAACAGCAACATAGAGCTTCGTACATCAGTTCAAGTTGCCATACCACACATTAGTACAGAGATGCAATTGTCACTTCAAATCACATAGTAGTATAGATAGGTAGTAGGAGTACTGGTAGTAATCGGAAATTTTAGGGTTCGATGATATGATTCAAGAAGTAGAATCTAGTGAAATAAACTTAAAAAGGGAACGATAATAGTGATGAAGAATTCAGAAAATTAGGATTTGATAGAACACAAAGAATGAATGCATCTGTGCCATTGCAAACGGTTTTGATCTATGTCATTCAAGATCTCTAACCATCGATTACTATCATCTTGCGGGCCCCGACCAGCTAGTCGACACCTACCGACATGACTCAGTTCACTTGTCAGTGACTTCGTGGATTTGTGCCATGTTTTGGTTTGGCCGACCCTAGCTTTCTTCGAGGCAGTCGGTGGTTGGACATACGTAACAATACATGTCAAAACCACCTCACTACTTCACTTATTGATACGCCGTCCTGACTTATGATCGTTTCCTAACAACAGCATTACTCACTCGGTTGTCTTACATTATTTGGGTAGTGCTTCAAAGACACCTGCTTTTACTGACCTTGTTTTGCAGTCATTAAGCAGGATGAAGCGAACTACCGCACACTACACTTGTCCTTTGATTAGCAAGCAGATATCTCGCCTGCGCCATAGGTGACGCAGGTTGGCAAAAGCCAATCGAGCATTCTGTATCCGTGCTGAGATTTTATCAGTCACCAGGCCATCAGCACTGATGAATCTTCCCTGATAAGTGAAGCGGTCGACACACCCAACTACTTCACTCCCCATCGTCACCAGTTCACGTGCCAACGCATGTCAATCCTGAAGCACCACATTGCATTTCTTTGGAGGAGAATCGCATCCCAAACATGCTTGCATTATTGCTAATGGTAAACAAAAGTCTCTGCTTTTTATCACTGTCTTCTTCACCAAAATAGAACTATATATATCATCAGCATATTCTCAGTCAATCACTGAATCTCCCTTGGTAGAAACTCCACTCCTAAATAACTCAGACGAAGTAGAAGACGAAAATGAACTAAATCAATATTTATCGATTGAATTTCTTTTCATATTCTTCTTCTCAGCGATCGTAGTTATATCAGCCGTTCTTTTCTTTAAAAAAAATTTGATCATTATCTTTCTTATCGATTTTTTTCATTTCGTTCATTATATTGTTGACCTTTTTCAATGAAAATTGTTTACTTCTTCTCACCATGCTATCATTTTGCATTTGTCTGTTTGTTTTTAGTTTATATTATGGTTGGCTGCTGCTTCGAAGGCCTAGTCGAGTGTACTTGACCGTTGGTCGTCTTATTTACACCTACGCCTGTTACTCTCAATCGCTGACCAGTATTCTCCAACCTACTCTGTTCTAGGGCCTTCCTTGCTAGTTCTCTGCAGTATTTGTTCATCCTCCTCATGTCTGTCTCTATTTCTCGGCTTCATATGTGTTCCTTGGTCTTACTCTTTCACTTTAACCTTGAGGGTTGCGAA